GATGAACAACCGCCTTTGCAAGGAGATGCGGTTAACGAAGTGGCAGTGCCTGAACAACCTGTTGATGAAATTTTACTTGTTGATCCTCAAAACCTAGGATATGAAGATCTTCCAGATGACTTAGNCTTAGCGGATGAAGGCAACGAAGATGAATTTGAAGAAAATGATGAAATAGATGATGGTTCAGAAGATGATCATGATGAGCAATAACATATATATGTATTTTGTATTGTATTAATGTTTCTGAAGTTTTGTGTTAATACTTTTAGAGTTTTAATATTTTTAATATTAAATAAGAATTTTTCTGCTATATTGAAGTTTGGGGTTTGGGGTTTGGGACATAGGGTTTAGATGATATATTGAGGTTTAGAGTAGAAGTTTAATTAAGGTTTGAAGTTTGGGGTTTGGGGTTTGGGGTTTCGGACATAGGGTTTAGACAACTGTAGTCCCTTTTTGGTCGTAAAACACTAGTGGTCCCAGGCTGGTCGTAATATATATATATTTTTTATATATTCGTCCCTTATTGGTCTTAATTTTGGTCCCTTTCTGGTCGTAAAACACGGGTGGTCCCAGGCTGGTCGTAATATATATATATTTTTAATATTGGTCACCTTTTGGTGGTAACTATTAGTCCCTCTCTGGTCGTAAAACACTTGTGGTCCCAGGCTGGTCGTAAACATTCCCTATAAATACCAAGTCCCATTCCAAATTGGACATCAAAACACAAACAACATCTTTTTCTTTAAACATCAAAACACCATTTAAAAAAAAAACATATAATTTAGTTTTTGCCTAAGATATTTGTAAAAATACCATAGACAAATTCTTCCATAGATTTGAAATATTTCTATAGAAGATTTGAAATATTTCTATAGAAGATTTGTCTAAGGTATTTATACATGTCTTAGGAATATTTTTTTTGTTAAAAACATATTGTTTAGTTATGTTTGCCTAAGATATTTGTAAAAATAACTTGGACAAATTCTCCCATAGATTTGAAATATTTCTATAGGAGATTTGTCTAAGTTATTTATACATGTTTTAGGAATGATTTTGTAAAAAACATATAGTTAAGTTTTTGCCTAAGATATTTGTAAAAATAATTTAGACAAATGATTCCATAGATTTGAAATATTTCTATATATAGAACCTTTGTCTAAGTTATTTATACATGTCTTAGGAATATTTTTTTTCATGACTTTCTTTTGGTGGTAAAGGGGATGTAATGGTTAAAGTTGACCTTCTTTGGTCGTAATGTAGAAGTAAATATTGGTCCCGAAGTGGTAGTAAATCTAGATAGAATTTAATTGGTCGTAAAGTAAAAGTAAAAGTTAGTCCCGAAGTGGTCGTAAATCTAGATAGAATCTAATTGGTCGTAATGTCGTCACTAGTGGGTGCTGATTGGTCGTAACACGTGGTCCCTAATTGGTGGTAATGAGATTTTGGTCGTAATCTAGAAGTACCTTACGACCACATTACGACCAAAGATAAATCCCTATATAAACTCGTCGAGCAGAGATCACTTCGTCGTTCACAACTACTCTCTCACTAGCTACCAGTTTCCCTCTCCTCAGGTATGTTTTTTTTTCGGTTTTAGTTTTAGTTTTAATTTAGGTGGTTAGTTTAGGTGGTAATTAGATTAGGTTTGGAATTGATTTAGCACGGGATAATATTATTTATATTAAATAATTAGTATTTAATTACTTTTAAAATTATTTTGGAATTAAGTTTAGTTGGTTAGTTTAGGTGGTAATTAATTAGATTAGGTGGAATTGATTTAGCACGGGATTAGAATATTTATATTAAATAATTAGTATTTAATTATTTTTAAAATTATTTTGGAATTAATTTTTCCAATCATAATTTTTATTTGAATATGTAGATATGGCCGGGAGAAAGAGATTAAGAAACCACGCAGCGAGAAGCCAAAATGCTTCTTACAGCGAAACATTTCTCGGTTCGTCTTCATCGGATCCATCAGCTAGCAGCTCTGGCACAGCCCGGGAGTTTGTCGTCCCAGAGACCGCGGCCCAAGGCACTCAACCAACTTATGTGCCTCCTCCTTCGTTTGTGCCACCGCAGCAGCAGCCTCTTCAGTTTGACGTGCCTCCATATTATCCGCAGCAGGATCATGATCATCAGCAGTATCATGATCATCATCTGCAGCAGCATCATGATCATCAGCAGCAGCAACATCATGATCATCATCAGCAGCCGCAGCATCATGATCATCAGCAGCAGCAGCATCATCAGCAGCAGCAGCAGCATCATCATCAGCAGCAGCAGCATCATGTCCCTCCTCCAGTCCATGAAGCTGCTCCGCCTCCTCCTCCGGGTGTCCATCCGGATTTGCTTGTGCCACCGGATGCTCCCTACGCTAGATACACGGTGGAAGATCTTCTCCAAATGCCGGGACGAGAAGGTTTACCCATCATCGATCCATAGAGACCACCAAACACTCTCTGGTAATTTTAATTATAATTTTTTCCATATATTTATATGAAATTTTAATTATATATATTTTCATCTATAACATTCATGAATTTTCATTTTTTTTAGGTTTCCAACAGATAATCGCTTGGGACGGAGCGTCGCAAACATCATAAGGTCGAACTTCCGGGAGCCTCATCCGAACTGGTCCCTTACACCAGACCACGTTCGGAGGACTTGGTTCAAATGTTTTGCGGTAAGTTATTTTATTTCTTAATTAAATCAATTTATTTCACTTTTTAATTTCATTAAATTATTTAATTATTTCTCATTTTAATTATTTTTCGCAGCAAAAATGGAACTGGTCTATTGCGGTCAACGAGACAATGAAGGAAGGGTTTTACGAGAAGGCGCAAGAACGCCTTAAGAATATTGTGGGCGATTGGAAGGATAAGTGGAGGTTTGATCCCGATGTCAGAAAATGTAAACCGACCTACATCAGCGATCACGTTTGGAATGGCTTGACAGCTTATTGGAGTCTGTCGAAGTCAGTTAAGGATTCGGCCCGTTGCTCCAACAACCGAATGGCACGTGATGCTGAGGGTAATTTGGTCGTTGTGCCCCACACTTCTGGACAGACTTCTCACGCAGGGAAAGCTCTACAAATTGTAAGTACAAGCTTTTGTAAATGTTTTTTTTTTAATTTTTAATTTGTTTTTACATTTTTAATAATTAAATTGTTTTATTGATATATTAATTAATTAGTTTAATATATTTAATTATGTTGTTCTGTAGGCTGCGGTGGAAGGAGCACCACCGTCTCTTGCCCGACTTTACAAGTTGACCCATCAGCGATCTGACGGGACGTTTGTAGATCCTCGTGCAGAAAAGATCTACAACGATGTTGAGGAGCAGATTCAGGAGGTCCAGACCCAGTTGACGGTAGAACAAGGGGAACCCGTTCAGTTATCCATCGTTGAACCAGACAAAATTTTTGAGAAGGTAATTAATTATTATTCGATTTTATAATAAATTATGTATATAGTAATTAATTTAATTAATTTAAATTTTTTTAAATGAAGGTTATCCCGAAGAAGAGGGGACGGATGATCGGGATCGGTACGGTGAACGATGTCCCGAGGGCTAGAGCTGAATACGCTACAAGACAACAAGAAGAATCTCAGCAGCTCCGAGCCGATTTGACAACCGCCAACCAAGTCATTTCGACCCTCCGGACGGACAACGAGGCCAACAGGAACCACATTAGGGCCATGGCGGATATGTTCGATGTTATGGCGGAAACAAACCCAGCCCTTGCGGAATTTTGGAGACCTCGACGTTCAAGGATCTATCCAAACCTAACTCCAGAAGAACGAGCAAATGCAGAGCGAGGAGTCGATGAACATAGCACCGAGTTTTTCGCAGACATTAATCTTAATAATTAATTAGTTTTCTTATGTAATTTGAATATATATTTTTATTATGTTTTGGATATATTAAGTTAAATTTCTTTTCGAAATGAATGATTTTTAATTAAATATTAAATTTCGTAAACTAAAAATTTTAAATTTGTGGATTTTAAAAGTGAAATTTTATTATATTTCTAGAGGTTATTTGGTCGTATTAAATAAATCAAACCGAAGTTATCTGGTCGTACATTTTACGACCAAGTTGTGTCTATTATTCAAGAGTCGAGGTTATGTGGTCGTACACGTTACCTCGATTTAAATACTATTTTACGTCGAGATTGACTTCTACTTTACGACCAACTTTTAGGACCAACTAACGTCTAACTGATTGGACGTAACTTTACGTCAAATCCACATCTAGAGTACGACTACTTTATTTACGTTTGTGTTACGACCAATCTCTTTAGTCGTAATATTTAAGTCCACATTACGACCAAAAGTTTATTACGACGGGCTGGTTACGACTAAACGCGTTTCGTTGTTATGTGGTCGTAAAAGTCTATTTACGACCAAATTACCTCTGTGGTCGTTATTCCCGCGTTTTCTTGTAGTGTACGAGGAGGCTTCGGTTGGGTTCTTGAGCGAGTCTAGAGACGTCGATGGCAGCGACGGATGCGTCACGGTTTCAGATGTTTGGTACGGTCCATGACTAGAGTTCTCAGACGGATGAAGTGTCGATGGATCCTCTGAGAATGAATCTTCCACCGTCGCGTCGCAAAATCGACATAGACAAGAACAGTTCAAACCAAACAGGGGAAAATATGATAGCTTTATGTTCTGTATATCTAATTGCAAGTCAAAGTTTGAGCCTTTTTTGTGGTGTGTTTAGTTTTATTACATTGATTAATTTGTCTCAACGAATAGTATTGGTTTAGGCAGAAACTGTTTGGAGTGGTTGGAGCTATAGTCGTTGTAGCATCCTTATGTTGTTCCTGGGGACCAACAAACGTCACGTTATCTGGTTTGCTCAAAAGTCCTTCTAGCTGATCTGGTTTGCTCAAAAGTCGTTCTAGCGACTTAACATCTACTTTAATGGTTCACCAAATTGATCTGTTTCACATTATATTTAGGCTTCATTTTAATGGTGGTTTCTTGCTGTAGATATTATGGAGGTTGGGCTGCCACCAACATCTACTTTCTAGGTTATGCAGGTGTTGTGAAGTTTGGTAATCAGCGTATTGGAGGCCTTTCTGGAATTTACAAGGGGAGAGATTTCCGTTTAGGTTTTTTTTTTAGTCTCTCATATCAAGAAAGATACTCCAGCTTTTGATTTATGAGTTGTTTTTGTGAGTAGGCCACCATATAACAATAGCACCAGCAAATCGGTCTATCATGTTTGACAATATGATGTGCAGAAGCTGATGCAACTTGTAGAGCCGCTTCATATTTCCTCTCACACGACTAACCTGTTGGAATCACTGATTATGGAGACTCAAGAGCACTTATTCAGCAAAAACCATACTTCCAAGAAGAGGTAAAAGTATTGAGATTTGAACCAAATCTATTACAGATCGAGGCAAGAACTCTTGGAAGTAAACCAACAGCTTAACTGCTAGAGAAACTGAAGCCTCGGTATTGGTTTTCAGCTCACTTACACTGCAAATTCGCTGCTGCTGTTCAACAAAGGAACAATGATTGCTCAGGGACTAAGTTTCTTGCCTTGGATAAATGCGGTCCAGGGAAAAAAAATTACAGGTTCTTTGTCTTCTAATTCTCTCCACCTTATGCTTTGTTTTTTCAAGCAAATGAAGTAGAAGCAGAAGGTGGACCTTTTGAAGTTTTATACGATGAAGAGTGGTTAGCAATAACACGGAAGTTCAATTCTATATTCCCGCTAACACAGACACCAGCGAGTTTCAGGTATACTATAGCAAGCTACCTACTAAGATATGTTTATATTTATGTCAATTCATTTTTTTTTGAAAATAGCTCTGTGACAATGAATATACAAGAGAGCCATGAGTGAGTAGGAAAGGCAATATAAACCTTTTGAGTTTCTATAGACGGTCCCTGCTTATAACTCTAATATGAGTCGATGTTGCTAACGTAACGTGATTCGTGTTTTCTCACTGGTACTGATTTATATTTACTCTAAACAGTGGCTTGAATCGATCGATTCAGCGACGATGATTATCACCAAGAGACAAGCTTCTTCTCAGAGTTAGGGGACCTCCGCTTGCTCTGATTCATGCCTCCTCCTTTGATCCTTTGCCTCACCTTAGTATCAAAAACATTCCAATCGTTAGTCTCTCTCACTCGCTATAAAGATCTCGCCTTTTTATTTTATTTTGGTTGGTGGAAAGTAACGGTGTTATAACGTTCTTGCAGGAGACATCATCTGCGCAGTTAATACGTCAATAGTACACAGCTGCTTCCAGTGAACTGAAGCTTCAAAACTCTATAATAAACGCTTATGGGGAAGCTCAAGATGATCACTTCTGAGCTTCAGACCGTGACAAGAAGTGTAAGCGGACTAACCCGTCCAAGGCTGAGAGTGGAGGTTTCGTTCTCTAGCAGATAAATCTATACATATATATCAACAGTTTTGTAATGTTCTCTTCTTCTATTTGAATCATTTGATTTGATGTTTCTGCTTATGGTTATTGAGAGCCTTTTTTTGGTTTCCTTAAAGTTATGCTTAATATCATGTTATGTGAGTTGCAAGTTATCAACAATTCTGAGAAAACTATTACTCCAAAATTTGACACTGAATCAAGATTAAAAAAAAACACTTTTGGGGTCCTTTCCATTAATTTAATGGGCTTGCCAACGCTTTTCACTATGAGAATGAGATGATCCCAATGGCTTAGTAATGCTTTCAGGCAGAGAAAAAAGGAGACATTATTTTTTTGGGCAAAATACCTATTAAGTGGTACTGAAACAACTTCAGTTTCACTTGGTAAAATGAATATAGAAGCGTATGAATGTTTTCTATGTTGAAGTCATAGACAGTTGCATTTATATGTTAAAAAAAAAACTCAAAAGGAGTCTAGGCAGAGGAAAGAAAGACGAACATAACATAACAAATTATTTTTGCAAAGATTCTAAAAAAAAAATTAATTTGTCTATTTTATAGGGATACAAAAGCATTTTTAGTGTCATAAAATTATTCAGACATAATAATATATAACATTTCATAAAAAAAATATACTCAAATAACTAAAAAGGTAGATACAAAACAAAATAGAGACATTAGAAAAATAAAACAATTGTTACATGCAAATTTTTTTGAACCTAACAACCATAACATTACAACAACATTTGTATATCTTAAAATTGTCTCAAAACAAATGGTAGGCATGGACATTTGAATACATGTCCACTTAGTAATTAATCCCAATGGCATCTACCACCAATATAAAATGTATCAAATAGCTTACATTTTTCAATTCCCGTTACTATCTCACTCAAAGTATATAGTATTGTATACACAACAATTTCTTAATATAAACACAACCATCAAAATCTAAAATAATTAATTTTAGTATTTATAAAAATTCTACACCCAAAAATACTTTAAATCCATCAACATTATTATACACTCCTCTTGCAAATCATAACATGAAACACATACAATGAAAATATACAATTATATAGTAATATATATCACACGAAAATTCGCGCGGATCGGCCCTAGTTTAAAAATAAAACAAATAGCACACTTCTGTTTGGTAATGGTCTTTTAATCGGTAATACCCTGGGATAGTAGAAGCTAATCATTTTTTTTTTTCCAGATGCCGCCAAAGAGAGGAGTTCACCGTACGCACATCGCCAGAGCCACAGTCAAAGCTGATACTTGTGAGGTTATGGAGAGCATATGCAGCCCTCTCGTTCAGCAGATTGATTAGGATGCCCTCTGGCTAATGGATCATGAGGTAACCAGGGAAGTTGTCTATGAAGCCATTCGTCAGGTTTCCCATGATGATGTTTTGGTAGCTGCGTAGGAAACTGCTTTAGTAGCAGTTCAGGAGGTTGCTCGTCAGATGGCTGCCTTTCAGGAGTCACCCAGTCAACATGCCCCCGCTAAACAAATTCCTCAAGTTCCCGTTCAGATGGTTCCGCATCCCACCACCTTCACCCGCTTATCCAGATATTATAAGATGTTTTCAGATTGATAGGGCAGATGAAAAACCTAGGTATGCATTATTTTGGGGGAACAGTGGATGCTACAGCTGCACATGATTGGAAGCTGAGACTGAAACGAAGTTAAGAGGTTATCATGGACACACTAAGGCTTTGCCTTTATTTGGTTGTGTAGTACTTGTTTGGAGATGCATTAGCATGGTGGGATGAATGATGACCTGATCATTGTGGACCTAACGAGCTGACCTTTGCAGACTTCATCATGGAGTTCAACAAAAAATATTTCCAAAAAAAAGCTATGCATCCGAAGAAAATGTCTTCGAGCATATCAGTCAAGGAGCTAGGACCACTACGGAGTACGAGCTCAAGTTCAGTCGATCTCGTAGGTTTACTGGGAGAATTGTGTTGCCTCACTGAACCTAAAAGAGATCATCCTCGTGAACTCCAAAGCTTATGTAACTACTTTCTTAAGCTACAAAACCGCGGTCCTGTAATCCCATCTGATATTTATGGGAGCTAAACCAGCAATCAGAATTTTAATGTGAATAGAGTAAGGTTTAGTGAAGCTGTGGAAAAGCATCTCTGGAGTAGATATCTACAATAATTTGCTCAAACTGCACGCGTGAGTTCGACGAGAATTCTGATGCTTTGAACCATTGTCGTCTCACTGCAAAATCTAGTTCTCCCTAAAACTGAAAACTGAGTTTTCTGCCTAACCACAAAAATGAATTTTCCTGCCAAAATTGTAAATTTAGTTTTTTCACTAAAACCAAAAATCGAGTTTTCTTATCAAAATTGGAAAATTGAGTTTTCCTGCCAAAACCGCAAAATCAAGTTTTTCTTCCAAAACCATAAAACTAAGTTTTTTGCGTCAATAACCGAAATCAAATTCTCCTGCAAAAACTGAAAATTGAATTTTTCTGCCAAAATCGCAAAATCAAGTTTTCCCTCCAAAACCTTTAAATCAAAATTTTATGCCAAAAAAAAAATCATGTTATCACGTCAAAACCAAAAATCAAGTTTTCTCACTAAAACATACAATTGAAATTTTTTGCTTAAACCGAAAAATGAGTTTTCCAATGAAAATCATGTTTTTATCAAAATAAAAAAATATTTTTGTTGGTATTATAAAGAATAAAATAAAATTTTATATCTATATTATTAAAAAAGAAACATTATAATTTTTTTTAGGTGGATTTTTAAGTTGGACTATCTCTTAAATGCATACATAATATTATAACTTAGGTACATACATATTATAAATAGATTACTGATCTTAAACCATACGTTTATTAACTCATATATTACCAAAATACCCAGTGCAACTAATCTTCAAAGATTTTGTTCCAATTATGTCGTGTGAATCTCTACCATTATTTAAGAAGTAAATTTGCTTAGTTGTCATGTTCTCCATAAATTTAGGTAATTTTGTTTGTTTATCATATTTTTAATACTTATATATAATTTATTTATAAATAAAACGAATTTATATGAATATATCATATTTTTAGAAAATAAGATGATGCTTGTGAAATTATGTTGTTATCTTGAAATATATTTTATATAAAAATTAAATTTTAAATTAAGATATAAAAATTATTATATTTATTATATAACTAAAACGAATTTATATTAATAATTTTATATTTTTCTAAAATTAGATAATTCTTATGTATCATGTTGTTATGTTAATAATAAATTTTCGTATTAAAAAACTTAAAATTAAGATCAAAATTATATTATTAATAATTAAATATAAATCATAAAAAAAATTATTTGAAAAGTGGATTTTTGATTTGTCTCGATAATCCTAGGTAGCTTTGATCATGTATCAGAATTTCTCTAATTTTGTTTATTGTTGACTATATAATTAAAACTAATTTATATTAATAATATGATATTTTAGAAAATATGTTGATTCTTATGTATTATCATGTTATCTTGAAAGTATATTTTTCTATTATAAATTTAAAAATTAACATGGAAAAATCTATACTATTATTTAAGAAGTGAATTTGATATTTGCTGATTTGTCATATTTTCCATAATTTTAGGTAATTTTGATAATTTTATCATAATTTCTATAATTTTATATATGATTTATTATATATTTAAAAGAAATTTATAGTAATATTATTAGATTTTTAGAAAAGGAGATACTTCTTATGTATTATGTTGTTATCTTGAAAATATATTTTTATTTTATATAATTTAAAAGTAAAATAGAAAATTATCTATTATTAATTAAATATAAATCATCACTCAATAAAAAATATTTAAGAAGTGAATTTGTTGATTCATTAAGTTCTCCATGATTTTAGGTAATTTTAATTATATGTCATAATTTATATAATCTTATATAATTATTATATAATTAAAACAAATTTATCATATTATATTTTTAGAAAATAAATAACTTATGCAATGTATTGTTATCTTGAAAATATGTTTTTATTATAAATTTTTAAAATTAAGATAGAAAAAATTATAATTATAAAGTAAGTAAAATATTTGTAGAAATATTATAATTAAATATAAACCAAGAAAAATAATTATAGAAATGTATTCTTTTAAATATATTTGATGTTTGAGTTTTGTCATTAATAATTATTTGATGTTTAATTTGTACTTTTTGAAAACATAAATATAACTTATTATGCTGGTCAATTAATAAAACATCAACAAATAAATATTCATAAGAGATTTATACCCGCAAGTGCGGGCAAAACACTTAGTTAACAATTAAATAACAACTATTTCCGAACTAAAAAAAGTGAATATCTTCCTTAGCAAATATATATACATATATATTCGAATATTCTAAAAATTATTGTCTTGCCTAATAAACATAAAAGGTCGATTAGTTGCTTAATAAACATAAAAAATTAATCAAACCAAGATTTATAAGGTATCTTATTGAATTATATATATTTTAGATTACGAAGACTATTAAAATTAATGTTATTATGGCAAGTATCATTTATAAAAATATATGCTGCCTTCTAAACAAATATTCTTATCTTTACTGCAAAAAAAAATAAAATAAATAAAAATAACAATCAATAAAAATTTACTAGGATACAAAAAACATTTACTTAAAAGTAAAATACTAAAAGTTAATTAATATTTCTAATATTTGGTTATATTATGAAAAATTATTTTTGATGTTTTAACCGTTAAAATTTTTGTGGGTTATTCTATAAGACGTACAAAATAATATCAAATGAAAAATAAATTGAACAAAAATATTTGATCTTTTTTATTATAACATATTAACATGAGCATTAATCAATGTGAGAAAATTGAAAAGATTAATAATACCTAATTTCAATTGTAAAATAAACATAACCGGTTATACTACTTTGATTTTCATATGAATATAATTATTATAATATTGGATTTCATATCGGTTACCTATTGGTTCAACCGGTTAATTTCATATGTAAGCAGTTTTTGTAGATTTTATCATATTTTAAAATAATAGATATTTCTTAAAATTTAAACTGGGATACATATTGAATCACCGGGCTTACCAATTGACAGCGGGTCCGAGTCGGGATAAAAACAGTGATTTAAATGTAAAAATGTTTTAAATAGTCAAAATTCTTATAGATTAATCGGATGTTTGTAACATTGTTAATAGAATTTTTTATCATAAAATTTTCTATATTATTAAAACGCAGATCAAAATAATTAAAATTTAATAAAATTAAATTTATTTATTTTATATAAAATTATATACAATATACATATATTAATATAATTGTATTTTAAATATTTTAAATATGTACTCTGGACCCTAATCTGGATCTAGATATCCAGATCTAAATATCACTATTCGGATCCGTATCTGTCGGATCTGTAAAATCACTTTTCGGATCGGAGCGGATCTCTAATATGATAATATATAGCGCATATTAAGTCTGAGGTCTAATCAGAAGTAACTAACTGTCAACTAATCATCAAAACGCAAATAATTAAGTTCGAATTTAATTTGCACTTCGAACAAAGGTACATAATTAATATTTTCAGTGCACGGTTATATTTACATAATACATTTCTAGACATTAATAATACCAAAGATAGTTCTAATATTATTTTTAAATATAAAATGGAATAGGACAAACTCGAAACTATACAAAATTAAATAAATATAGAATAAATCCGTGAAATAAAATCTGTGCGGATGCGCAATGATCTAGTTATCTAAATTATAAAATAATATTGTTTACTTGTGTTTTAAAAAATATTACAAAATAGGCTAACCATGACCCAATCCCTTTATGTATAAATTGTTCGGGCTAAAATAGAGTTGGGTTTATATTCTATAGAGCTGTGTTGGGCTCAAAAATACGCTCAAAACCATTTTTAACATCGCTACGAGTATTAGACACGGGGACTTAGTGGGAAGTGGTAATAAGTTTTCATACCAATTATTTTTTTTGGCTCAACTTCATCTTATATTAACCAAAAAGTAGTACATGATTTCACACCATAAGGATTCAACCGCACTTACAAACAAAGTGATATAGTATTACCTAGGAACACATAAATGGATCCTACACTATCCGAATCGATAATTTATTGTAATTCTACCCGATAAAAACAAATTCCCTCCACGACCCAAAGAGAACCGTCTCTTATACCACTACTTTAGACCACACGAACATAGATAGCAACTTAATCAAAAGAAACAATGAGACTCAACCAGTTTCAACTTAAAACACTTATTGATGGTCGTCTAAAGTTTTGAGTTCAGTTCGGAACCACCATAACTTCACCGTGGGGCGCGTATGAGTCTGTGTCGGAATCATGTTCCTTAGCCCAAAAACCGAACACAATGTTCGGAATGAAAGGCGGCTCGTAACTACAGCTACAAGGCAGGAACTCGAAATCACAGCTAGAGGAGATGTGATGTTTGTACCACTGGACTCACCGGCGCTGGGAAGTACTACCACCACCGCGCTTCACCATCGAAGCCCTCCTCTCCGGTTGACAAACTCCATTGGTGAGGGTCCTCGCCACGCGTCGCCTCCAGAAACCAAAGGACGAAACCTCTCATTGCCGCCTGTTCACACCACTCCTCCAACAGCCCCACTACCACACGAGAGAGTAGATCTATGGTGGAGGAAACGACTATCCCAAGCCACGCGTCCCCGTCATGAAGATTTGGTCATAGATCTCGAAAAGAGAAAACTGGATCTGACCAAACCTTCGAGCCTAAAAGACGACTCCCCTCATCTCCATCCCGCCACCAGTCTCGCTGTCTCTCCATAGAGGGTCGGAGCCAGTCCCCGGCGGCCGCAAGAGAACACTAGAGTTTGCTCATGACAAACAAAGAGAGGCTCGCATATCGATTGAGAGTAAAAGCAGAGATAAACAAAATGAGATTAGAGGGAGAGAAGGGCGCCTCCAACGCCGAGAGCGGCGGCCAGAGCTAGGGTTTTATTTTAATAAGAACTTTCTAGAGAGAAGAGAGAGCAAGTAGAGAGAAAGCTATTAAGTTTTCATACCAGTTGAGGAAACGGAGCTAATTACGGTAAATATAAATAAATAGAAGAAAAGGGAGTGAAATATTGAATAACTAAAATTAATTGTTTAAACGTTTAAAATGAAATATTAATATTTTTCATTTGAAAACCACATGATTCTATCTACCTACCAATGTTGTTGGTTTATCCAGAACGCTGAACAATATAGTAATTACTTAGGCTAAAACTCAGATGTACATCATTCAACATACCACCCAAAGCATATTTTGAGCCATAATAGGCACAGGAGTTGTTTAACTTGTAACTTCTGAACGTCGTAATAGCTTTGAAGCAAAGAAGAGTTTGATACAAACAATCAGAAGCGAGTTAATATGATACAGGAATATAAACTTGAACAGGATTTAGTTGCCACAAGCTCGTATACAGAGAGATACTGACTGCAATCAGGACAATATGAGACGAAGTATCTCACCAGAATACTTGAACGATTTCTCGGTCTCTTCCAAACAATGATTCTTTTCTTCTCTCGTCCACTCCTCAGCAACTTTGTTCAGTTTTTCCCTAACGGTCTGCAACAATTGAGAAAGGTCGCCGTCCCATTTGTAAAACTCGAGTTCTTTATTGTCTAGAATCCTTTCGGCTACCTGAAAAATTAGTTAAGCATCAGAAGAGATCTCTCTTATTTTGCTAAGCAAGTTTTTTTGTTTTTTTAACCTTTCTTCCAATCATTCGGCCACCAGCGCTGTGGGCGAAGTAGATGTTGTAGAAGTGACAAATGAATGCTGGAGGATCATTCTCTGCTAAATCCTTTAAATACTGAGAATATGTTTTACCAGGAGAAGTTGGTTCTGGAATCTCGTAGCCTTGTTTTCTGAACCACTCCAAATCAGTGGCCAATTTCTCTGCCCTTTCCAGCCCCGTGTTTTTGAATTCTGTATCTACAGAAGCCGACCGTGACAAGGATACACAAGAAAAAGAGACTTACTTTTACATAAAAGAAAGATTTTTCACAAGCCAGTATCTGTTTCTAACACGAATCTAATCACAACAACTCGTAAAGTTCAACCAAAAAAGTAGGATGCCATGAAGGAATCAAATCATAAAGGGATCAGCGGGGTTGATTGAGAAAAAAAAACTCACAAGTTGGGAAAATGGATTGATGAATAATCCCTTCAAGGGTGTCGTAAACCAGCTTACTATCCACCAAAAACCTCAAGTAACCTTCAACGGTGGGTTCCCATTTAGCGACGGGACGTTCCTCAGGAGATTTTGTCTCTTTCTCTCCTTCCTTGGCCTGCTCTTTCGTGTGAAGTCTCATAGCCACAAACCTCATCTCCTCCACAAACCCTTTCGATTCTCCAGGGTATCTCTTCTTCTGCTTCTCTGCCGCCGTCGCCACCACCAAGGAAGATGACGACAACGACGTCTTGTTCCTCACGGCCATCCTTAGATTCTGAATCCTAGAGCGAGAGAGAAGTGGGGAGAAAGCGAACGGGAATTTGGTGAGTTGGGGGTTTTTGAATACGGATAGGGATGGAGAAATCGGAGCTGAATAAGCCATAGTTGATGGAAGCAAATACAAGTACTGTATTGGTTGTTTCAGAAGGAGGCACGCGATGTGTTCTCTTGAAGGAATAGAGAAGACGGAGCGACACACAATCCCAAATTCAGTTTTTATATTAGAGATTAATATTTCAGCAGCAAGCCCAATATAACAGTAAACCCGTTTGTTTACCCATACAAGATTTTAAATATGTATATATTCAGATCTCTCGTCTGAAGTAGGATGGCCCATGTGACTATTCATTGTATCGAGATTCTACTTGCAGCATGAGCTTATACAGAAATTAATACGGAGAGATCCTACTATATATTAAACGAGAAGTCACTTTACTGATTTTTGCTTAGTTGTCATTTATAACTAAAGTTTAGAATTAATTATCTTAATTTGATTGGTTTTTAGTATTTAAATTTTTATTTACTTAATTAAAGATTTTAAAAGGAAACTAATAATAGAATTACCTTATCTAACTATATACGACGCGAAGTGATAAATTGTTAGAGGCTTTGGTGGATTACGATCACCCTCACAGGCAATCGCTCACCCCTATTGAAAAGAAATTATGGCGGGATTTATGGAAAACAAAAGCTCCACCAAAAATAAAGCATTTTATGTGGCGGGCGTTATCAAATGCGTTAGCTGTTAAGCAACGTTTGACTACTCGGGGTATTCCGATCGATCTAACCTGTCCAGTTTGTGGAAATGAGGATGAGACTATCTGTCATGTTTTATTCACATGTGTTAAAGCACGTGAGATATGGGATCAAGCTAATGTCTAAGTTCCTTTAGGAGGTTTATCTAGGAATTCTACATTCTTAAATTTTGTTCATTTACTCAAAATTGCAAGGAGCGCTTCTTTGGATATCCATACACAAAAAGTTTTTTCATGGTTGCTATGGAAAATATGGAAAGCTCGGAACTCTTTTGTTTTTAAGAATAAGGTTTTAGAGTCGTCTTTCATTGCTAGGAGGTCATATGAAGAAGAACTAACATGGTACGATGCATTCACGGGATCGACAGACCAAGTGGATGATATGGTCATAGATAAGGTTCGATGGAGGAAACCCCCTAATGGATCCCTAAAATGTAATGTGGGATCTTCATGGATTGACTCAAATCAGCCGAGTGGTGCATCATGGATTCTTCGCGACGAAAACAGAGGCACGCTCACGCATAGCCGTCAGGCTTATTCCTACATGCGCACAAAGATCAAAGCCGACCTGCGGGCTCTTTTTTGGGCAGTGAAATGTTTGCACAATCTACACTTCTCAAACATTATTTTGGAGACTTCATCGAAGTGCATACATGACGCTATGACTAATCCAACTGCACACCTTAGCCTCAACCACATCCGTCACAGCATTCTCTGGGTTCTATCAGGAATAGATTCATGGAGTCTCGATCATACTCTTCCGGAGCGTAATGAAGCGGCAACGGCCATTGCTTTCAGCGTCACTCGAGATAGGCGCCACCAGTCGTACATCGCTCGGAATGCTCCATCGTGGCTATTTCACCTTCTAGTTTTGGAAGCTAAATGAGTAAGGGTGTTGGTAAATCTTGCTTCTCTTTTCTTCTGTTGTTATGATGGTGTCTACTGACATCTCATTTTCCTATTTTTTTAGTCTTTCACATTCGTTTTCCCTCAAACTTTGTTCATTACTCAGTGTTATAAAAAAAAACTATCTTACCAAATAAACAACTAATCATCTTAAATATAAAAAATTTAACATAATGTATTAATTGAAGCAATTATTATCATAGATTACATTATATAAAATATTTAAATATAAACGGATATTTGCAAATGTTAGTCTCTCCGACAAAAAATGATGATCCATAAATATTTAAATATGTTATATTTTTAGTGAATGCAATAATAAATATAAACCTAATAATAATTATACCCACTATATACATATATTCTAAAAATATATCAAATAAATGTAAAATAGTCAAATATATAATTAAAAAAATCAATCATTTTCAATGAAAAAACGGTATTATAGTTGAATTATATTAATACGAGACTAGAGTTATTCTATTCATATAGCTTTGAGTATAATAAAATTGGCATGTTTAGTCTTAAAATAAAAAAAATAGACATAAATTAAAAAACATGAGTGAATAATAATAAAACCTTTTGTTGTATTTTCCATTATTTTATATTTTTCCTACATCATTTTTATTTGTATACCAAAATATTTTTTACGTATTAGTATAATTGTAAACTACTTAGTTTTAGGTGTTTATAAAACATAAAAAAATTGAACAAAGAGGATAAATATAAATGATAAGTTCTAAATTTATTAATGTCAAAAATGCAAAATTCTACTATATATTAAATGAGAAGTCACTTTAGTGATTTTTGCTTAGTCATCATTCATAGGTAAAGTTTAGAATTAATTGGCTTAATTTGATTGGTTGTTGGTATTTAAATTTTTATTTACTTAATTAAAGATTTTAAAAGGAAACTAATAATAGAATTACCTTATCTAACTATCTTACCAAATAAACAGCTAATCATCTTAAATATAAAAAATTTAACATAATGTATTAATTGAAGCAATTATTATCATAGATTACATTATATAAATTATTTAAATATAAACGGATATTTGCAAATGTTAGTCTCTCCGACAAAAAATGATGATCCATAAATATTTAAATATGTTATGTTTTTAGTGAATGCAATAATAAATATAAACCTAATAATAATTATACCCACTATATACATATATTATAAAAATATATCAAATAAATGTAAAATAGTCAAATATATAATTAAAAAATCAATCATTTTCAATGAAAAAACGGTATTATAGTTGAATTATATTAATACGAGACTAGAGTTATTCTTTTCATATAGCTTTGAGTATAATAAAATTGACATGTTTAGTCTTAAAATAAAAAAATAGACAAATTAAAAAACATGAGTGAATAATAATAAAACCTTTTGTTGTATTTTCTGTTATTTTATATTTTTCCTACATCATTTTTATTTGTATACCAAAATATTTTTTACGTATTAGTATAATTGTAAACTACTTAGTTTTAGGTGGTTATACAACATAAAAAAATTGAACAAGGAGGATAAATATAAATGATAAGTTCTAAATTTATTAATGTCAAAATGCAAAATATAACGTAAATTAGATTTAAAATAAAATTATTTTAAAATAATGATAAGTATTTTTTGCGGTATAATAAGTTTTTAAAAATGTATGATAACAAAGTTATAACAAAATTTATACAAAAAGAAATATGTAATTTTGATATAACTATGTCTAATGACATCACATTATTTAAAAATTTAGATATTTTTAGGATGTATAATTAGTTAATCATATTTTTTTTTAAATACAGTAGATCAGATTTACTTAAAATAGGTGTGTATTGAAGTAATTCAAAAAAAAAATATTTTTTAAAAAATAATAATATTAAAGTATTTATTTTCTAATGAAAGTCTTGGTCAAATGAATCAATATTTAATAAGATAGTGTGAAAATTGGAGAGAGTTTAATAATGAATTTGTTTGGTTAACTTGTTGTGAGTTCAATTTTGAATTTTACGTTAAAAACTAAATAAAAAAATAGGTGAGAGAGGGAGAGATGTTGATGATGAGGAGTGAGAGTTATGATCATATTGGATATGAGAGTGAAATAAGTGAGAGACTGAATGTAAGTGAGATACATCATGAAATCATTTATTAATATTATATGAGAGTGTTTTGAAGATTTAACAAAATCTGGTAAAAGTTTTGTAACAAAAAAAGAATTAGAAAAAGTTTGAAAGTAAAATATTGAGGGTTATAATAAATATGGGGTAAAAGAGCGAATATAAATGATTGTGAGAGAGTGAATGTAAGTTTGAGAGATTTTAAGATTATTTGATCAAGAGAGGAAAAGAAAAAGGGAAAACAAGCGAAAGAGGTACAATGATAGACAAAAAGAACGGGAAGAGAGATACAAAAGAGACATAATGAATGTGTGTGAAAAAACCAAAAAAAAAACAAAAAAAATAAGATAGAAAGATATACATGGAAAAACAGAATACATACGTAGAAGAGAAAGAGAGTTACAATACATTTATATACTCACATCAATTTTTATGAAATGTATAGTTATATTAATGTCCGCACAGGCGTGCGGGCCGTCCACCTAATATACATTAACAATGGATAAAACATATACATGTATTTATCCAATCTTTTCCTTAAGAAATTAGCGTAACTAGATTAGACAAGGGGTGATCGGATACTCGTTGGTATTCGAGACGGTTATTTTGAATTTTGGTATTTTTATAACCCCTTATATTATACTCCCTCTGAATTTAATTATATGATGTTTAACAGATATTAAGAAAAATTAAATGTTTACTTTTATTTATTACTTTTTTGTTTCATTTTCAATAAATTTAAAGCTTTATATGGTTCTCTATACAATTCAACCACTTAGCTTTTTATATTTTTATTTTACTCTATTTTTAAAATTAAATTGCATTAATTAAGAGATAGAACATCATACATGTATACACAAGTAAGAAAACTAAAATATCTTATATTTGTATACGTAGGGAGTATATTCTAGTAGATTTCTAATTACGGATCGTGATCTAAATATAATATGTCGGTTACAATTCAGTTTTGTATCATCACATAGAATTCATAAAATAACTATCAATTTTTTGGATCAATTCGGGTTATACCAAAATAAAATACAAAATAAAAAAAAATTAGGGAAACACATAATTGAAAGTCTGAAACTGAGTAGAAAGGTTTTCAGTACACATCAATACCCAATAGCAACATTTAAAAGTTTTAAAACTGAAAAACTTTAACAAATGTGACAAATATTCTTTATGTGACACACGATCTATTGACAAACATCCTGTGACAAAAGAGTTTATGGTTATTTGACTATCATTTTGTGGAAGATCTTATTCATGTCAACTAAAATAAGTAAAAACAAAAAGTGTAACTATCAAACCGTAAACAAACAAAAACAGAGCAGATCAATTCGAAAAACAAAAGTAGATTATTATAAACTAAGAGTTCTTAGTAAATTAC